TCCAAAAATTTGTCGAGCATCTTTGATTTGTAGTGGTCAACGACCTTGGGCCTCATTCGGCATAATCACGCATCCGCTAAATTCCAGTCATCATAATTTCGCTCCTCTTCCATTCCCGGTATTAATAAAAGTTGCTTTGCTGTTACATAAATTCCTTCCGATGTGCGAGACGTAAGCTCTTTGAAATGTAAACAGTGGAGTGGTAAGTGTCCTACCATCTGCTTTTCATTTTGGCAAAGGTTAAAGGAGTCATCTGTTATTTTTACAGTTTTTTTAACATTTCTAACGCCGGCGCACGCCTGTATACATCTAGATTGAGGAGCTTTGGTATGGACTGGGTAATAAAAAAGTTAAGGGGTGAAAGCTGGAAACTCAGGCTGCGCAAAGAGTCCGTAGTACTTACCTAGCTCTTTGGCCTTTTTTCCTGGATTTTGATGCAGGATTCGAGACTCCCAGTCATGTTTCCATCCTTCCACAATAATTTCCCGAATCGCTTGTTTCAAGTGAGCAGTGGTGGTGTACATAACCCCCTTTGAAATATTGCCTATTCCAGCTTCTCTTGCAAGACTATCCGAATCTTCATTTCACTTAATCCCCAATTATTACCATACTAGCTTCCTCTGGTGTTACGGTTGGTATCCATGGATTCCAATGTGAGCCCACAGAGCGCTAAATCGGAGAAATAGAACTCTATCATCTACGGCCTATCCGAATGGACTATGATGATACTCCAGATTGAAGTTTTCTTCGCAAACTTAATCTTGGAGTGTATATATTTTATTTCTCATGGGCAGTATCAACTGTCGCTCCTGTATCCAACAGGGCTTAATTCGTCTAAATACCGCTCCTCCAAATCTTTGATATAAAGGATGTTTGATTGTTTTATATTTAAGTCTCTACTGGGTTCTAGAATATGAAATACTACTTCAGGATCTGACGAATTAGTCTCTTAGATTACTTGTTAAACTTTCAAAAAAGTATTACAATTATATACTAGTTGATCTTAAGGCTGATGCTTTGAAGGTATCTTTTAATGATGTCCACATTCATGCAGTGGCTTGCAATTACTTACGAATTTATAAGGCTTTCCACAATGACTTCCGCCCAGTCCCCAACTACGTCTAATCACCAAACAGAGCTTCCAAAAAATTACGACTTCCCTGACCTACGTGTATCATTTTCTTCACCATTGAGCCGCGCAATTAGTGATTGGATAGCTTCGGAACCAAAGCAGTAATCTTTTCTTTATGATGGGCTCGCTGATTAGGCCGCCCAATACCCATATGACGATCGACCAGAACGGTGCACATCGCTATCCAGCTCTAATATAAAGGTACAAGTCCCTTAAAATGACTAAGCTTTTGTTCGAGAACTTTCAGCCCAGGAAAGTTTCATAACCTTTAATCATACAGACATGCCCTTTACCATGAGTAGGTCCTACTCTGAAAAATATCCTCGAGTCTTGAGATATCGCCCCTCCCGAGGATTAAATGGTTGCCGATGCTACGTAGATCATACTCCTAGAATAAGTCTGGACAGTGTACTTGTAAGCCTCGCGACCTATATTGTGGAGGGCAAGACTGAACATCTGTACGCGATGTCCTCTACGAACCTGGGAGTGAAATATTTTCCCAGAGCCAAGTTCAGTCAAATTTCGCAATATCAAAGAAGTTGGCCCACGAGGCAAAAATTCAAATTACTCCACCATGTCAATCTTTCACTCCCAAAGAGTCCGATTCTCAACTAAGCTTCATCAAGTCTATAAGTACGACAAAGTACATCCTCATTCCAATGATCACACCTCTTGTCGACTCTCTCTGGCCTCAGCTGGTCACCAAATACACGCCCATGCCGATATTTACATCCGACGGAGGAAGCAAAGCGTGGCGCACAAATCTGGGAGAAAGCTCTTTGGGACGGACGTGAGAGGGATTAGGACAAGTTTACAAGATGACACGGAGGATGGATACAATCTCTACGGGCGTGTGATTCTGAATTTTGGCAAGGAGTTTTACGAATTGAGCCTTGTGCACGCCAGGACTTCGATTGTGAGAGTGCAGCTAACGCTATAAACACAAGCAAACGATGGAAGGTGTTATGGTCTGCCTCCTGGTGGTTTTCTCTGGTATAGTTTGAGTAGCCTGGGCACCTACTTCACTTGGGAACGAGACGCCTCAGACCATATTTCGCGCGGAGAAAATTTGATGGATGACGGAGGCATATCAGGATAACTCAGGGTTTTTGAGATGTTCCCCTGGGTGGGTATTCACGGATGAGGGTTGACTTGGGGTGAAGAAAAAGCTACTATAACTTCGCAGTGGTACTTGCGAATGAAATCTGAGGCAAGAGTGCTCCTCTTGTAAATTGAGCCATCTTTTCTGTAATTTTCTTTGATATTGTGTCATAGCTAAATAGCTGCATACGCAATTAAAATCTGATGCAAAAAAAAGACCAATGTCGTCTTCCTTGAAAAGCTTTGACAGCATACCACTACGCTAAGCGACCATAGTAATTCCTTACTTGACTGTGCGCCTTGGACAGCGTGATCGACAAGCCTAACGCTGATCATGATATCATTTCGGATCACATATACGCCGGGAAGATATCTTTACTACCTTAAAGCATGTACGCTCGATGATGCAACCCACGTTAATGGATTGGGACATGATACGGAATGTTGATGACACCTCACAATGCTTTCCGAACCTTTATCAGGGATATTGGAAAGGCTCGAAACAAAGAATGACAATAAACATACAGTTTCAAAGCCTTTGTTTAGGCTATCTCGTGTGGAAAATTTAAAGTGGATCCGAGTCAGGAATGACTTTTAAAGACACTCGATGTCATGGAATGTAATCAAAATTTCTTCTTATTTTACAGGATTTCGCACTATGAGCAGCTTTTGTTTATTATAAGGCACAATAGCTCCTAGTTTACCACCTATTTAAATCCCAGGCGAAGAATCAATACCTGGGAGCCGGCTGGATCAAAGGTACCTGCTAACCCATCTCTTGCTCTCAGCGGAAATTGGGTAAATTAGTCATTTGGAAAGTGTGACTGACAATGGAATGTGTGAGGAGCGCATTGCTTGGGTTCAATATGGAGGAATCTTCTGGTTTTCGGAGTTATTTTGATTTTCGGGCGGTTTTTTCGTTTCTGTTTAATCAGCTGCACCTTTGGCTGCGATTTTCGAGGCTGGAACGAGTTTAGGCTGTAGGAAAAGTTACAGGGAACTTTGCCGGATCCACCGGTCCTTGACCTAATGTGGATAAAGAGCTTTAGCTTAGGACCTATTCGTAATAAATAAAAATCTGGTAGCGCTGTGTTCTATAAACCTTCAACTTTATTCCTACACTCTTTATAGCCATGAAGTCTGACACTAGTCTGGAGAACTTCTTTATTCAACCAGCTTCAGATATTCTCCATTAAATAGAGTGAAACAAAGATATTAGGTTAAGCTATTCCAGTATGCACATTTTATCAGGATTTTCCCTACCTTGCTAAGTGGCCCCAATCCCTCCCGAAGGACAGATGACGCGGGGTGTTACAAGAAACTTAGGAAGTCATAGAGCGACCCTCAAGTACACACAAATCTATGGCTGCTAGCCTTTAACCGCTTCGGATGGGTAGCTGTCAGTATTGAATTTTGTATAATTTATGAATGTGCAGATGAACCAAATCATGATGTTTTATGAACCTAGGCTAGACTTTTGTCCTAGTAGTCAAGTATCTACCTCATTTATAACGTAGGACAGTGGCCTCTGGCCTGGAACATCTCGTGTTTTAATATATATCTCTGTCCCGATGTCTAAGTGCTGCTTCTGGCAATAGCTGTAGGGGAAGCACATGTGAGGATTTATCACCCAAGATGCAGGTATTCTAGGTCTCCGGGAATTTAGAAAGTATATGTAATAAAGTCTCAATCTGAGAAATTATGATAAAGAAATAAATATGATTACACATGCTACTTACAATTATCGTTTGTTATGCCAAAATGGGTTTGATGTTAGGTGATGATTAGCTACCTCAGTCACGTCTAGCACGAAATTTCCGCAGCAGCAGTGGTAGCATGGCAATAGTCATATTGTTCGTCTGAATCTTGACTGAGACAGGATATCCTATGTAGCACCTGCGACACAAGCAAGTGTTAAAATAGCTTCTGCTGGATGCAGTTGATTATACGAAGAACTTGATTGATCTCGTAAGGTGATCTAAGTTCCGGGTCATTGAGAGTAAGCGATTTTCAGCTCCTCTCATGTAGCTTCTTTACTTCATTTCGCAAAATATTATTCCTATTTACCATTTAGCGAGTGGATATTTCTTGATGATCGGAAAATTGAGGCGAAGCATAGAAATGACTACAGTCTCATCTATCTAATGTTGGTTGATCGATTAATCAAAGGCTTCTATAGTCTTCAATAGCTCCGCGGCCTGGGGGTGAGTAACAGGGGTATCAGTCGAGGAAGGTTCCAATATCACAAACGAGGGGGATTCAGGTTAAAATTTGCACGTATCTCATTGCGGGCGTGATGTTTTCATTAGTCCGCAATTCAAATGATTCTTTGATGCATGCGATGAATCCTGTGTGGCCTTATAAACAGGTGTTGGACAACGTGCATTCCTGACAGGGGTGGGGAAAATCTTTCATTGATTTACCTCGGGTTTCCGCGTGACTAAACGATGCTAGCTCACCTCAAAGTCTTTCGTATCTGGCTCCCGACTACCTTCAGACGGGAATCACATTTGCAACTACGCTCAGAAGCGAGCTATGCAGCACATCTGAAGTTCATATTCTGTGCGCTCGAATAGAACTGCCTCATACTTCGTTACTTGCAGACAGGCCGAACACTCAAAAACACGTCCATCGTGGTAGCTCGATGGCGACGGTGATGGCATCAAATCCTTCTGGTAAGATAACCCCACACGAATCGCGCAAAACTTAGACTTTCCCCCTTGCACTATTTATAAATCCTCGGGCTCTCATCTGCTCATAACCTTGGGTCGGTGCGTCTAACAAAATTTTAGACGCGGCCGAAAGAACGGGACGTCGACGACCTTTTTCAACATGGATTAAAAAACTTGCAAATTTAAAGCATGCTGCGACTATCGCTACACATAACCACCAAAATACTTCCAAGCGTAACTCTCACGTGATTAAGACTCATGGAAAAAAGCCACCAATTCCTGAATCCAACGAAGACAGCAACAACAACATACCTAAACCTCGCGATGAAGAGGGTATTGCGCACGTCGATACCGAACAATCTCCTTCTGCCATAATATGTGCAAATTCAAGTTCATCTTCACCAAACCGTAGAAGCTCTGATCAATCCTCTGGGGGAGGAACCACTCCAACCATTGAAAATAAGTCTATGGCAGCCACTTTAAATCGGCGGGCGAATTCTGTGCAAGCACCCTCCCACGCTCCTTCATCTGGACAGGAGACCATCGGGAACATGTGGCGGGGAAATGGCAGCACATTCTCTTCCCCTGCGCCATCCGTCCGGTCACTTACAACGACTCTCACTACTCTACAATCCGCTGCCCCCACAGCAGCTGCTAATAATCATCTAAGTAACAACCAAATAACAATGCAATTCTCACCACAGCTTGTCTCTTCACCGCTAAACGCTATACCACCTTATTTAGTATCTCAAGGTACTGGATGTCATCCTTCTACTTACAACACAGCTACGGCAAACAACCTTCTAACAGATAATGCATCTATATTAACCCTTGCATCTTCATCGAACAGAAGACGAAGAAGGTCGATGGACACAGACGCGTCTGTGCGCGCTCTCGCGCCATCTTCTATATTCGGCGGAAGCAGAGAGAGTCTACCTATGAGTATCCTAAGTTCTAATATCGATACAAACTCCTACCAACCACGTCTAAGTATTGGTGGTCCAACCGAAAGAGGAAGCATTTACTCTGTGGCAGGAGTAAACACGACTTTAGCGAGTGAAAGAAATAGTTACTATGCAGGAAAACAGTCCATAGTTTCTGAGGCTGGAAGCATTAAAAGTGGACTCGTGGGCCACAATCTTCGCGACAGTGTTAGTGGCTGCATAGGGGCGAACTTAAATCCGGGTAGTCCCCTTACAAGCCCTCGAGATCTTGTGATACCATGTCCAGGAAATCTAAACCAAAACAGGGCTACTTGCAATAAAGACGAAGATTTAGATGATGAAGAATACAAAAATAGAGGCACCTTTAAAAGAATCAATAATGTAGATACGTTATCTGCTCGTTAGTCAAACTGCAGAATCCATAATTCTACGGAAGGGAGATTGAGGTAGCATCAGATTATGAGATACCCGTAAAAATTCATAGGAATTATATTTGACGACAAAAAATAGAACATTCAAACTGGACCTTGATGCTGAAAATTATAAAGCTTAAAAACGGAAATATTTTGACATGTTCAATGGGCTAACATATTCAGTTTGTCGTCATTTGTTAAGCTCCACAACGGAAGACATCGAATGGAATATTAAAATAACACTTCATTCAACCAGCGCAACATTTTCGTCAAAAATTCAGATTGATATGAGTCGAACTTGGAAATACATGTATCTTTGTCAAGCAAGTAAGAAGTATCAAAAAGAAGCTGGGAAGACCTGAATTGTTACTGATTCACATGGATTGATTAAACCAAGTAAGATGTATATCACCTGGTTTCGTTGATGAAAACCACAGTGCATAAAAATTTGAAGCGGCAAACTGACCTTATTCATGACCTACATAAATTAATGGGAAACCTCTAGTACACAAGCGTCAAGGGGTTTAGGATAGGTGAATTTATTTTGCTTGTCATAACACCTAGGTCTAGAAATGATGCAAAGAGCACGTTGTATACCCGGTAAATATTGTTTGGGTAACTGGGATTCTAGTTTTGAATATTTATGTATCTATATTAAGATGCTAGACAATTGGCGCTCCCGGCTCGCCTTGGGCCTGGCAGGATCAGGTCAGGTGTCACGAAGGGTATGAACCTCATGCCAACCTGGAATTCAACCATCTGTTGATTTATGCCAAATGTCTTGTAAAAGTGCCGGCAAAATGTCGTACCTATTTCGTAGTTGGCTATTTTTGGCAGGCCAAGTTGATGGCGCCCATGTCTAAACGGATTGAAAACGGGTTCTTCGAACGTACCCTCACAGAGTATGACAGACGAAGATAATTGGATATCTCCATGCTTATCTGGCAGTGATTTTGACTTGGGCTTTTGGGGTGGTATGTTGAACAACGGGATGGGTTGGCTGAGAAAGATATTCCAGGCAATGTGAAGACGCTGTACAGTGCTAGTTCTTCTGACAAGAGACATAGTCACGCTTGAAGCTATTTGCGGCTTGTACTTGGGGTGACGATGATTAGCTTTGTAGATTTGTGCAGGCCGGGGCTTCAACGAAAAATACGCCAACGCTAACATAAGAAATGTCTCAAAATCATCCTTTTTCGTCACTTAATCTCGGCTCCGAGTGATTAGTTTGCCGGTAGGCTCATTAAGGACACAATTGACTGATGTTCAGTCTTCGTCCTCTATTTCCTAGAGTTTGCCTTGCTCGATGGCACTATTTCTTGTTAAGTGTAACAGATGTAAACAAAGGAGAAATCAAATACAGGACGACACAACTTTACGAGGAACCAATCTAGCACATGTCACCTGAGACCTCACTATACCATTTGTAGGTCCATGACGATTTCACAACCACGGAACTCGCATCGACTAGACGAAATTTCTTTAGACAAGGTCTTTAAATAACGCGCTCAAGCGCGACTGTGCTGAACCCTCCGCTACCACCATGCGTAAAATCGTAGAAGTTGGCATGTCGCAGATTGACCACTTGTGCCCCATTGAAATATCAATATCATTCCACGGACGAGCGTTTGACCGCAGCTACCTTTGCCGCTCTCCTTACAGCAATGCTCATCCTAGATTGTCATGGAGGTGACGTAAGATTTTATTTATAGTTCAAGGAAAGAGAAGGAGAGAGAGAGAAAGAGTATGAGCTGTAGCCTCTCTAGAGGCTTCGGAAGCGACTTTCTTATGGAATCGATGTAGCATCCAACACTAGTATAGTGACAGCTTCCACCCACGCGTGTGAATGTACATACAGGCTGAGCTATGACTGTGGACTGCGCTACTTACTTCTAGGATTAGGGCGAGTATTTTCCCACTAGTTTGCTCAAGAGAAGACTAGAATAGTGAACCGTTGAACTGACTTGACAATTGCCAACTTTCATCCTTCAGACTAGATTTCCGGCAGGCAAGGTTAAGTTTGTCACAGTCTTGCATGTTACACAACTTCGAGAAGATCGAGCTTCCATCAAACAATAATTTAATACAAGCCTGGACTAGATCACGTTAGAGTTATCCTAGGCAAATATAGGTCTCGGAAAAATTCATGAAATGGATATAAATTCAAATCATTTATACTGCGTCTAATTACTAATTCACTAAAATAGCTGTGAGCCCAGCAGCTCTTTAGGACAAGCTAAATTGGGGCTTGGACTCTCGCTCTATCATTCAGAGCAGCAGCTCTATAGATATTTGCGAAACGAATTACCCAGGTATTCTGAATAATAATACACTGAAAATAGCAATTCACGCACTCACTCATGAAAAGTTTCTATTAAGAGAAAAATTTCCATTTCCTATTATACATTATAAATTCTGTTAGTGACTCCGTTTTGATTCGAATCACAGTTGTCTTAGATAACCCAGAAGATTGGTTTGATTAGCTCTCCAAAAGAAAGGACTCTTGCCGTCACTATAATGTTTGGCAATTTTTAAATCCAGATTTTTTAATCATATTGTATTCATCTATCTAGCTATGACAAATTTAAATCCAGATACTCGGACTTATTTAATACCTATATCGGAACAGCTCTTGGAGCCCCTCGTAAATAACTACTTAGCGACTGATAAATTGCTAGCCGATCTTCGGCCAGTCGACTGCAGTAACTTCAGGTGGAATTATAATCCATGCGAAGGAAGCCTTCATGAATTTAGACGGACACCGGAGGCACTGGCGGAATATAATCTTGAGATAAGTAAGACTACATCTCAATGACGAATATAGCCAGCAAAGACGAATTCTTTACCTTCTAGTGGTGCCGGAGTAGTCGATTAGTATGCTCTGTATATCTGGGATAGCCAAGAAGAATCGCATCCGAATCGAAGTCGAAAGCAACCTCAAGCCTATCTAAAGTCGAAGACTTCTCGTCAATATCGGACCTATCATTCTCACGCTAGTCCTCCACCTCAATCTTACTACACCTTCTCGCCTCGAATACCGATAATGGCGTTACTCCAATTGCAATCGGGCATTTGTCTCATCAAAACCCGGCCATCCCCCACTACACACTTACGATGCTATGTATACCCGCTAGGAGGAATTCAAGTCATAGTCTACAAAGCTCGGGTTTTGGTCTATGGGGGACTGTTGCTCTAATGGGGCTTCACATCTTGAGGGAAGACTGGCAGCTGGGACGTGGGACGAACGAGTAAAGAGGTCACAAATGGGCATGCTGGGACGAACATTTTTTTGAGTATTTTCGACTTAAGAGTGACTGTGAGTGTAGAAGCAACGATTTCGGATAGTGCAACCGAAACTCTAAAAATAGGCAACGATAGAAGGGGTTTTGGTCCGCCTCCTGGTCGTCATCTCCCTGAATTAAAATCTGGGTAGCCTGGACACTTACCCCACTCGAGAAAGGGAAGACTGTGAGGCCATATCTCGCGCGGTGGCTATTTACAAGATGACGAAAGCGTGTTGGGGTAGCCAAAGGTTTTTCTTGTTTTCCCTTTGGTGGAAATTAACGGTTGAGGGAAGGGTGAAAGTCCCTAGCAACAAGGTCTTGAGTGGTATCAGCGAATGTAACCACTGCAAGAGTAGTCCAAATGTCAAACTGAGTTATCGTCGCATATAGTCGTCGGGGAAGCCAATCTTCTCCGTGTCTTGCTCTTTGAGTGCAGGGCTTGTGCCCGTCACGAATAAAAATTCATCAATTCATTCAACGACGAATATATATTATACAGAGCTGTAAAACACTTCATGAACGTTTGTTAGCTCTTAATCATTTGGCGCCAGATAACTCTACTTAACACCAATAGCTCGTAGCTAGGTATAATACCCTTAAGACCGCTCCAATCGCCTTGAAATAGACTGAATCGTGGCTTGCGAACTGGATACGAATCCCCTCTATGGGCAATGCATTGGAATTTTTTAATTGACGAAATCAGACCACAGGAATATTTCTTTGTTGCTATAAAACACTTGATTAAGGGTATGCGACTACATGTTTTCGGGATATATATAAAGCAGAAAAAAATGATACATCTGATACGCTTTCTACTCAGTACGACTATTTAGCGAAGTCTATAGCTTATCTGCGCCGTACTAATTTGCGTTCTTCTGATTTGATGACTGTCGCCGCATATCTAAGATTAGCGGCTAGTTTTGATCAAGAAAACTCTTACCATGCCAATAGGAAAGAGGGTATACTCAGATGTCTATGCGGTGTACAAAATTGGTATGCGGGTTGTTTTATCATAAACAGAGAACATCCAAAGCGTCCAATAGGATACAAATCTCCATAGGCTGCTCAAAAGAGGGTAAATGAGGCTCGAAAAGATCCGAGAGCTGAAGCAAGGATAATTAGTGCTCTTGACCAACGGAGAAGAAGACTGCAAAAAGATGGTATAATTCAGACAAATGACGGGCCTCCACCTTCTGGGAACGATACCTATATCGCATGTATTGGATGCAAGCTCTATGGAGAAGAGAGCTACGCACCTGTATCAACAGTACGGGATACTACTCAAATCCCTAAATATCAAGAGTGAATCCGAAAGATCGATATTGGCACTGATGAACTTCTCACACAATGCCAGCGACAAAGAAATGTTCAGTAAACAACAACAGCAATGGCGGATAAGCTACTGGTAGGAAGTATCGCAACGATGTCCAGGGAAAAGACACATAATACTGGTTCATTTGATGATCGTCAATCCCAATATCAACTACTGTTGAAATTATAGAGTACAGAGATAAGTCAGGTGATGGTTAATAGCAGTTATTTATGAAGGGTTTGTTAATTGAGTTTTCTATTATTTCTGTGTTGGGATACACTTTGTCGATCCTACTAGGTGTCACAGACCATCTCTGGGATGTCGCGTTGCAACCAGGCAACCGAGTTATGACGTGCATATATTAACATAATTTAGGTATTGTAATGGTTACAGTGT